AATTCTCAATCAAAGCAATACAAATTAGTAAGATTCCATGTTGTTTTATCTATGACTTCAAAAATAATTTTTCTTTAATAATAACAGTGTTTAAGGGAACACACTGAAATAGTATTACTCCAAAATGAAATAGAAATTGGAGTCATCTCTTTGAAAACATCCTAGTGATGCTTATTAAAAAAAAATTTAAGGGCCTTCCCGGTGGTGCAGTGGTTGAGCGCTGGACTGTGAAGCTGCAGCACCGGTTCAATCCCTGGCTGCCGGGCGAGAGTCTCACATGGCGTGCAGACCTCTCCTGCCGCTCGCTGATCCCCTCAGTAGTGTACTTCGTCAGTCTGCCTGATCTGCTCCCTGCTCTGGCTCCAGTGAATTCTCTCACCCTCCCGCGCTTCTGATTGTACCCAGTGCTTGTATAAATAAATAAATAAATCTTAAAAAATTAAAAAAAATTTAACTCAATAACTTTATTAATTTGCCCTTATCCTAAAATGCTCACAAAATTACTCTAATACGAAAGGCTGAAAATCAATATTTCATAAAGCACAAAGTTACTAGTCACAGCCACAGCAAATAAGTCATTTAACAAAGTGGAACACTGACAAATTCTGGGACATCCATATAATATTATTCAGTGACTAAAAATTAGTGTAATCAAAGAATACTTAATGACATGGTAAACCATATGATGTGTGAAAATATATGGTATATATTTTTATGTACAGAATGACTCCAACTTTATAAGGGGCCTCCTTGGTGGCACAAGGGGTTAAGATGCAACCTATGAAGCTCACCGCAGCCACTGCAGCACCAGTTCAATCCCCAGCCGGGGAGCTACCCACATGGTGCAGCAGACCTTTCCTGACTTGCCTACTGCTCCCCTCAGCAGTGTATTTCAGTTGATCTGCCTGATCTGTTTCCCACTCTGTCTCTGGTGAATCCTCTCACCCCCCACACTTCTGGCCTATACCCCAGTTCTTGTATGTATAAATAAATCTTTAAAAAAATATATAAACTTATATGCACATAAATTACACTGGAATGAAAAAACTTTAAACTGTTAATCAATGGATTATTTTTCTGGCTACTGACTGCATGAAGATTGCCCATCTTACTCTTACAATGAACTCTGGAATTTGTGATAATATTAAGAATGGTAGTACACTGATTTTTCAAGCTTTATTTGGCAATATATGAACATATATTTTTATAATGGTGGAAAATGACTTGCTGAAGCTTCCTGATAGCTTCGTACCAAAGTCATCCCTCCCAGAGCTGATACAGAAAGGCGTCTTAATGATACATGGGTCCCAAGTCCCTTTGTACTGGACTCCAACAAACAGCAGTTATGTGATACTGCCTTTGAAAATTAAGTCATGGTGAAAAGACTCTTTTGAAAAATTGCCATATTTACCAAATAATAAGAATTACCTCATTGTCTTGAGATGCCAAAGAGACCATAAATACTCACTGACAACTCTCGGCTGACAACCCTTGGCCTAGCTGTAGGGTTTTTTTTTTTAAGATTTATTTATTTTTATACAAGAACTGGGGTACAGGCCAGAGGTGTGGGAGGGTGAGAGGATTCACCAGAGACAGAATGGGGAGCAGAACAGGCAGACGGACCAAAGGCACTACTGAGGGGAGCAGCAGGTGAGGCAGGAGAGGTCTGCCATACCATGTGGGTATCTCCTTGGCCAGCCAAAAATCAAACCGGTGCTGCAGAGGCTGCAGACAGCTTCATATCGCTGCACTCAACCCACTGCGCCACCGGGAGGCCCTAGCTGTTTTTTAATAGGAAGAACCACAGATCCTATGGTGAGAATTTACATGCACTAAAAGCAATGATCTCCTCTTGGGTAATGAATGTTTAATTTTGTAATTAGAGACTGACCACAAGTTCTCCAGGGTTTTAGTAACATGACTTTGAGATCCACTGGTCACCTTCTTTCATCCCTATCATGTTCTTATCCTTGCTAGTCTCATTTTTGCACAATGTATGCATTTTCGTTTTGGTTATATTCCCCATACAATTGCACCCCCTTTATTTTGACCCTAATCCCTCCTCTCCCCGCCCGTCTCCCCTCCCACATACCCCACCCCCCATAGTGTGTCTCTGGTTTATAGTTGCTTGTTGATTTTGATTTTTACTTTATTACCATTAGTCTTTTTTCTGGTCCCTTATTTAGGTTTTCTAAATTCCTGCTATGAGTGAGACCATCCGGTATTTTTCTTTTTCTTTCTGACTTATTTCGCTGAGCATGATCCCTTCTAGTTCCATCTATGTTGCTGCAAATTATATGAGTTAATCTTTTTTGATTGCTGAGTAATATTCCATTCTGTATATATACACATCTTCTTGATCCAGTCATCTATTTTTGGATGCTAGTTTTCATTTTAATCTGCTTCTTTATGGTCTACAAAGCTGGCAGAGTATGAACCTGTCTTTCTATTTCATTAGTTCAGCCTTTCATTTTTTGTGTAGTTTGGTTGAGGAATTAATTCTACATATAGGACATATTCTAAACTGAGATTTGATTGGACTTAAAATATTCACTAAATGCTGGTACAAACTCAGCCAACACACCTGTTTTGTCTATTCAAGATAGTCAGATCTACCTTCAGTAGGTCAGTTTCTGATGAAGATCTCCAGCCATATTATTAGCCCTTTTTATTAAGAACCAGGAAATAAGAACTAGCATGCACCTCTGAACCACACAGTCAGGTACAAATCTGAGATTAAGGAAGCTTTTAGTAGAGAGACAGGCCCAGAGTAAGTCAACCAGCAATGCTGGGGTGGACAGTATGGGCTTGGCACAACCGGCCTTAATGACAGTAGTAAGCTTCTTTTCACCTGGCTTCAAACAGCAATGACAAGAGCTAATTGCTGTAACACCACGTGGCTTCATGATGTTTTTAAGGAACAGCATTAAATGAAAAATCAATCAAAAAAGAAAAGAAAGAATAAAACCCTTACATAACATTCTCTTGGTTGACCTCAAGCCAGGGGAAGCCAGCATCTGAATTCCCAGGCCAGGGCGTGGCATAAGTTATGACCTCCTGGGTTTGTAAGGTATAGACCCTGGAGACACTTTCTAGAAGATATCCTATAGGGTTAACTAGATCCAAGCTGGGCAGAACTAGAAAGATGAGTCTGCATGAGATGGTAAGGTAAAAGGAACTCCTGGGTAATGCTCACAACACTAAGGCTTTCTCTATTCAGAGATCTGGTAAGTGGAGAGCTGGACAAGGAGATATGAAGCAGAGTCACAGTCAAAGAATGTAATGAGTGTAGTGAGAAGAGGGAGACCAAGGTGGTCATGTACTTATCTATCCAGACTGCAACTGGTGACCTCCATTGAGCGGAGCCACAATCCTATAGTTGAATGTTACGCCTCAAGGATTTCCGACATACTGAATTTCCCTTTATAAATTGGAGTTTAAGATTTCTGAGATGAGTACAAGGATTTCTAAACATGTTTATTTTTCCTAGTCATTCTGTGGTCTAAAAACTAAAAAGCAGGTCACGCTTCCCATGGCCAGAAGTGGAATTCAGAATTGTGCACTCCCACATAATAATACCCAAATCATATTGCAGTGAACAAAGAGTTCTCCCTTCTGTTAACAAGGTCTTTGCTAAATGTGGGCCAACTTAATTTAACTACATGTCATCTCTCCTTATGTCTGATCCCTAGTAGTGCAAGGTGCTACGGAATTATCTTCTCAATGAAAGCAGGTCTGTGTCCTCACCACACAGAGTACCTCATCCAACAGAGGAAGAGGAGACCCATTTCATATGAATGGTGTTTAAAAGAATGTTCATTTTATAACAGTTCATTAAACTATTTTATGCATTTTGTAGCTGTCTTCTATGTTACAATAGAAAAGAAAAATAAAATAGATGTCCCACATGTATGAATAAATATAATGCAAATAGAAGGAATTCAACAACTACTGTACCCTTAGGTACTGTGCTAAGACTGTGTAGAATGTGTCATTTAAACCTTACGCCCAATGTACAAGGGTGGTTTTACATCACTTTGGAGATGTGGGTGAGGTCCAGTGGACCTGAAAGCTCCAGAGATTAAAAAGAGAGCTAAAATGTGACAAATGGGTCTGAAGACAATATGTTGCCTTTATCCCTAGTTCATACTAGGTGAACCACAGAGACTCAGAGGCAGAGGGAAAGCCTCTAGATACAGACAGCAGAGAAGGCTACCATGGACAGCAAAAATTTGAACATGCTATTCCTTACACCACACTCTGGACAGGATCAGAATTCTTTCTATAAAGCAGAATCTATTTAGTAAATAATTATTAGTGTTTTTTTTTAAATGTTATTCAATAGTCAAAGGGATAATGGAATGGAAATGTTGAAAAAAAAAGATGAAGTGAGTAAAAAATAGAAAACATTGATTTAGAAAACTTATAAATTCCATTTCCAAAATAAGGCTCCAGTCTAAAAATAGTACTCTTCAAGGATGGAAAACATTCTCTCTCATCACAAATGATACACTGATATAACCAATGACTTTCAAACTTTCTCAAGGAATTCTAAAAATATATACAATCAAAACTAATCCTGTTCTTTCACAAAAGAAACAAGCTGAAAGTAATTATCATTTAAAAAAAAACTATCAAAAACATACAAGATGACATCTTATTGGGGTACTTTATTGTCACAGAAAGAAAAGGCTCAAAAGATTAATGGGGTTATGTCAAAAAAGACACAGGAACTAGATTACAGACTTTCAGTGGCTAAATTTGGAAAAAAAATTACTGATTGCAATATAGTGAATATATAAAAACCCACAGGTATACAGTAACTTATACTAGAAAATAAAACAGGAAACTCAGTATATTCCCACCTTGTTGTAGCACCTGATTTGAGAACCAGTGATGTCTTTCAGTGTTCTTTTCACATTGAATTTTTGCTTTGCGTAGCCTTTTTCCATTATAAAAGTAAAATAAGGAAAGTGAATAAGCACCACAGTGGGCAATACCTTTGGTGGCAGGGAAAGAAATAATCCTTCAGACATCAATCACTTTCTTGAAGACTATATGGTGGAAGAAATGGAAAAAGGGAATGAGAACAATTAATTTTATATTTAGTTTCATATAAGGAGGCAGGAGACTCTTCCCCTAACTTTAGATTTACTCTGTACCATGTCTTATATAGGTTATACTCTCTAAATGTTTGCCAAGTTCAAATTTGCAGTTAAGAAAAACTTAAAATATTCCTGGAAGGGAGAGATGGAATAAAAGTCAATCCTAACCATTAATGATGTATCATTAAACCAACTAAGGTTTTCTGGAAGTGAAGACTATTGTACAGAACAATTAGAACATGCCAGATCCAGGTCAGGGTTCCTGGATAAGAAACTCAAGCCTGCCACCCACTAGCTGTGAATACTAGGGCAGCCCTTCTACCCCTTTCCCTGTGGCTTCCATAATGAAGGAGCTAGTAGTCTCCAGGACACTCCCTCCCTCTCTGTGATCCCATGAATATCTTAACTGCTCACTGTCTCTGTGCTGCATGCTTTTGGGTGAATTAACTCTCTGATTCTTCAGATTCTTCTTCTGTAAAATGGGTACATTAATAGTTTCTGTACCTCACTAGGCTTCTGTAAGAATTAGATAATATATGTAAAGTATTGAAACAGTGCCAGTCATGTAGTAAGCAGGCCAAAAATGTTAGCTACTGTCATTATAATTTTAAAAGTGAAAATAGCATTACTATCCAGCAGGAACTGCCTCTTCTGTTCTACAACAGTGTGTTTTCTGAAAGCTCCTGGATGTCTATAGCATTTCAGAATGCAATAGCTGCTTCACACTAGGATGTAAGGTCATTTTGTCTCTGTTGTGGGGAGAAAAGGGAAGAGTGACTATAACAGGTTAACAGATTTTTTTTTCTAATGAAAATAAAAGGAGTCTATCTGAAGGATATTCTGGATACCTAGGAAGAAAAATCAGTTGACCAGAGAGGCTAGCATTCTTGACTTGGGTAGGCAACATTTGGTTATAAGATAGATAAAATGCCGTTAGATGTTGAAGCTAGATACATGTGATTCATTATACTGTTCTCTGATTTTATCAGTTGAAAATTCCCTAATAAGTTTTTAAATCTAAAAAATCTAATTATTAAAAATAAAATTTTATCTTCTATGATACTGTTCAGAGAATAAAAATTTTCTGGTTGAAGAGTTACTTCCTGAGTGCCTTTTCTCTGCTACCTATAACCATGTCAAGAGCTTCATCTTCAGTATTTTGAGAATTTTTATTCCTCTAGGACCTCCCTAGATGAATGTTAAGGCAGTATGAAATTTTCAGAATTGATTATGCTATTTTCCCACTTTGCATATCCTCAGAACTAGCCCATATGAAAGGAAAAGGGAAAGCAAAAGTCATTTCCAAATTAAACAACTGTCCCATCCCTATGAAAGTCCCATAGGAAACTAGAAAACGTGTCTGTATTTTCAAAATTATACATCCCTTTGTAACAAACCCCAAAATATCACTGTCTTTGGACCGCCCTCTGGGTTAGAACTATTTAAAAATAAAACATTACTTCAGGGACATAAAAAGAAACAAAGTGCCAAATGAATATGACACCACAAGGAGAATGAAAACAAAGAACTATGGAATGCACTCTTTGAAAGATGTCCCTTTTTGTTCAGTCACTTAAATTGGGTAGGTCCAAGGATAGAATTAAGTCAGAAAAAGAAGGCAAATACCCTCTGAAGGTTAGATAAGGGAAAACACCTAAAATGGAGCAAAATAACTTACCCAAGGGCCTGTTACACCTTAAGAGTCCCTGTGCCACACTAACAAATGTCTCATCTACCTCAATCCAGTTTAAAGATCTCTCAGTATGTGTGAGGTTCTGCAGGTACAGGGGGTGAGGAAAATGTTTCCAGTGCTCTCAAATGTGCTGTAATAGAGGCATGCACAGGGTACGGATCACAAAAAACAGCCATACCAGGCTTAGGGGTGGAATACAGCCTTCCCAAGTAAAGTTTTTTGAGAGGCAATATGGCCTGGGGGTTTGAACACAGGCTTAGGCTATCTGCTTAAGTTCAAATCCACTCCTAGGTATTTACCCAAAGGACACAGAAACATCAATTCCAAAGAGCACCTGCACCCCTATGTTTATAGCAGCACTGTTTACAATAGCTAAGCTTTGGAAACAGCCCAAATGCCCAAAAATAGATGACTGGATCAAGAAGATGTGGTACATATACACCATGGAATATTACTCAGCATTCAAAAAAGATAAACACATGCTATTTGCAGCAACATGGATGGCGCTGGAAGGGATCATGATCAGTAAAATAAGCCAGAAAGAAAAAGAAAAATACCGGATGGTCTCACTCATAGCAGGAATCTAGAAAACTTAAATAAGGGACCAGGAAAATGAATAACTATAAGAAAGTGAAAATCAAAATCAACAAAAAAGTATGAACCAGAGACACTCTATGGGGGGGTGGGGTGTGGGGAGGGGAGGGATTGGGGTCAAAATAAGGGGGTTGCAATTGTATGGGGAATATAAAAATAAAATTTATTTAAAAAAAAAAATCCCAGCACAGATGGCTCTGTGACCTTGATCAATTTATTTAACCCTTCTCTGTCCACTTTTAACACTGCAAAATAGGTTAAAAAAAAGTTACTGTTCTAGGCATATGAAAAAATGTTCAACATCACTTGTAATCAGGGAAATGCAAATCAAAACTACAATGAAATACCATCTTACACCAGTGAGAATGGCACATATTAAAAAAACTAGAGGGCCTCCCCTAGTGGTGCGGGCGGTTGAGCGCAGCGTTGTAAAGCTGTCCGCAGCCTCTGCAGCACAGGTTCGATCCCGGCCACTGGCGAGGGTCCCACATGGAGTGGCAGACCTCTCCTATCTCGCCTGCTGCTCCCCTCAGCAGTGTATTTCATCAGTCTACCTGTTCTGCTCCCCACTCTGTCTCTGGTGAATCCTCTCACCCTCCCGCGCATCTGACCTGTACTCTGGTTCTTGTATAAATATATAAATAAATTTTAAAAAATTGCAACAACAAATGTTGGCGAGGTTGTGGAGAAAAAGGAACTCTCCTGCACTGTTGGTAGGAGGGCAAACTGGTCCAACCACTATGGAGAGCTGTGTGGAGATTCCTCAACCTACTAAAGATGGAGCTTCCATATGATTCAGCCATTCCACTCCTAGGTATTTACCCAAAGGACACAGAAACAGTAATTCCAAAGGGCACCTGCACCCCTATGTTTACAGCAGCGCTATTTACAATAGCTAAGCTATGGAAACAACCCAAATGCCCAAAAATAGATGTCTGGATCAAGATGTGGTACATATACACAATGGTATATTACTCAGCAATCAGTTTGCAGCAACATGGATGGAGCTAGAAAGGATCATGCTCAGCGAAATAAGTCAGAAAGAAAAAGAAAAATACCAGATGGTCTCACTCATAGCAGGAATTTAGAAAACCTAAATAAGGGACCAGGAAAAAGACTAATTAATACAAAGTAAAAATCAAAATCAATAAGCAACTATAAGCCAGAGACATACTACAGGGGGTGGGGGGCAGGGAGAGGAAGGATTAGGGTCAAAATAAGGGGAAGTGCAATTGTATGGGGAATATACCAAAATGAAAATGCATACATTGTGCAAAAATGAAAAATGATGTAAGAATTATATAAAATATTAAAAAAGTTACTGTTCTAAAAGGATAGTGAGCATCAAATGAATGTGTTGTATAAAATGGTCTATTATAAGCATTTAAATTATTAATTATAATAAACCATTTTATACAACTTATGCAAATTCTTGGCAAATAAGTGACAAACTAGGATATTTTAGCATGAGAGAGGGCAATACTAGTGATTATACTGTAACAGAAAGAACCAGCTGGAACTGTCCAAGGCAAATGGGACATTTGGTCACTCTGTATGTTTTCATGATGTTACTATTATAATTGAAGGCTGTTAGTAAAGCAAGCAGCAGGGGAAGAATGTTATGGTGGAAGGACAACACATGCACAGATAGAAAGGCAAGGGACTACAATGTGTTCCAGGGATTTAGGTTTTTTTGTCACCCACTCCCATACAATAATATTCCCTTTTCTTCAGAGTACTCAGTGCAATTGGTATTCAATAGTTACTCATCCGTCAATGTGATTATCTGACTAGCATTATTCCCCCACTTAGACTGTAGGCCCCAGAGAAGCCTGGTTTTGCTAAGCAAACTGGGGTATGGACACTCATTTATCTGTTGAGTGGTTGATGAAGGAGCTGTGCATAGAAGAGAATACCAAGCAGACTGCAGAGGACATGAGGTGTGCTGTCAGATTTTTTTTCAAGAGAATCTGCGACAAGGAGCACAGTTAGCTGATGTGTTATCTTTAGAATCTACGAGCTGCTCCAACTAATGACTGAGCAAGGCTCTCCATTTCTCACCAGCAGGAACTCCTTCATAAGTATTTTTTGGCATCAAAATTCCTTGCTGAGCTGGATAAGACTTTCTCAGCCACACTGACAAAAGTCTGAGGCTCTTCATACCCACTGTCCTTTCTTCTCTCTTTTTCACAAATGTATGACCAGCGGCACAATCTAAAGCTTTCCCTGCCTATTTCTGCTCCTCCTCATTATCTTTTACAGATGTTGCTTTCTTAATTCTGTGTCAGTATTGGTATCTACTTCCAGGAGAAAACAACCAACAGAAAGGAAAAAGACATAGTGCTGAAGCATGAAACGGGACTCATCTTCTAGTTCTATGCTAAGAAATTTGACTTTTTTCCCAGAGGTGATAAAGAAGTACTAAACTACAGGAAAGTAGTGACAGGTCTATAGTTCTGTATACAGTGTGGAGGACAGCTTGAAAGAATGGCACAGTCATCTTCTAGTGAAACATGCAGATGAGAAATGATGAAGTTATGGATAAAGGCACAAGTAGTAGCAAAGACTAACTGCAGGTGCCAACCATGTGTCTTGGAATTGTGCAAGGGAAATATAATCACCTCCATTTTGCAGCGAGGAAATGGGTGCAGAGGTAGATTAGCTTACCCAATGTCACCCATCTGGCCAGCTTTAACGTACTTTTTTCTTTCATCAGACCACTGCCTCCCAGATAAAAGGACCCATAGTTAAAGCTTTAAGGAGGTAACGAGAATTGTGGTGAGTTCTGTTTCATATATGATGAAATCCTATCTAAATTCAGCATGAATAAAAAACTTAATTTCCTTAAGCATCAGGTACTAGATTTTACAAATCTGAGAAAATATCTACAGATTATATACAAAGCTGATAGTACTTCACAATAATAGTGAACTGTATTGGCTTTTCTGTGTATAGACCTTTTTAAGTAAGCACACGGCAATGAGTGCCTAGTGTATCCAGCTTTTGAGTGTAAAAATCAATACATGGAACCTGTCCTTATAGATCTTAAAATTCAATGGAGGAAACAAACACATATGAATAACTAAATAGGTGGTTAGAAGAGATATGAAGAGTTATAAGAAAATATACAAGACCATTAATTTTGATAAATGAGCTCAGGGAAACATTACAGGGCAGAAAATATCTGAGTCAGATATTAAGAAAGAAGCAAGTATTAGAAAAAGTCTTCCTGAAGGTACTCTCAATTACTAAAGGTGACTCACATATGCCTCTGGTGGTATTATTTTCCTGGAGAAGGTAAGCAAAGATCCAAATGAACAGCTTATTTTCAGTATCGTAAGTCACATAAATCAGCTCTTTAGAAGCACCTGGAATTTAATCACAAAGCAAGGATCTAAAATTCATTATCTTCAGATGCTTAGGTCTACATACTCAATCTACAACAATGAATGCATCTGAATGGGGGAGGACAGCAGACAGCAGGTATTATGCCACCATCTTCTACAGGTAGCTGCCACAGCTCTTGGGAACACAGTATCCAATTTGGACTTTCCTCCAGCAAATGAAGTAAAGAGAATGCTGGGCATTCTCAGTTTAACACTTGCAGCTCTATTTTATCAACCAACTCCCTTAGAACTAGATGACATTTTGTGGAGGGTCCATTTTTGGTTATTGTTGGCTTTCATATGGGGTGATAAAACACATGTGCAAAACTCAGGTCTCAACCCCATGCACTGGGGGCTCAGGTCTCCCGCCTTGCAGAGAAGCACCTCAGCCTGCATGCAGACAGACCTCTGCACCACAGGTGAGGCTCTGTATTGAAAGGACAATACGTCTAATATCTCTGCCCATGCAGGCAAACAAGACACCAGTGTGGACAAGTCCTCTCTACTTTCAAGCTTTGTGACTGTTCCATTTGCTATTTACCTCACACGGACAGTTTGCTGGTGTCCTTTCTTATCCTAGAGGACTATTAACCCTTCAGATTGGTCTTCCTTACCTGGAAAAAAAAAAAACCTGGTAAATACCTCCAATAATTCCCAAAGAATCACTGGAGGGTTTGGAAAACTCTACTTTTGGAAAGTTCATTATCTGGACAAAATGATAGATAAATATAGATGCAGTGGATTATTTCATTTTACCTGATCAGGATTAAAGGTCTCTTCTCTATACCCATGCAACATATCAGTGGGCTCAGTGACTGGGGGATGGACGGGGGCGGGGATGCAGGAAGGAGTAATGATTTGGTAAACTGTACCTGCTGATAGTTTTTTTTTTTCTTTTCTTTTAGTATCCAAAAGGGCAGGTTTATTATATATATTTTTTTAAAAGGCAAGAAGCAGCTTGCACAGACACAAATAGGCGGGAAGAGCTGCCGCTATGCAAAGGGAAAAGGTTTGTGAAAAGAAACATTTGCATAACACAGGCGGGCAGGAGAGCTGCCGCTTTCCTTTATTAATCACAGTTCCATCTGTGCCATTCTTCTAGGAGCTATTTACACATCACTGATACCGTTTGTTGTCTAACTATTCTGACTATAACATTTTCATAAAAATTTTCAAGTGTATCTTCTCTCCCCAATTTGAAATGTTCTGAGAAATCATGAACCACGTCCTAAGCATCTTACTTAACAGTTTTGAGCAGAGAGCTATACACAAAATAACATTTGATATCTATTTGTAGGATAAATGAATACTTTTTTGGGTCTTTGAAAACTATTACTTCCTTCTCCTTTTTTATTTTACAAGATTCAGTGTGTGTGTGTGTGTGTGTGTGTGTGTGCAGGAGGGGGAAATATTTCACTTGTAAATGAGTAACAGTCTTATTTAGTGAAATATATCTCAAATATCCAATTACTTCCTGCTAAGTTGCATTGTTTCAGTTGATTATTCACTTAAATTACTGAATCACTATCAATAATTAAAAATTGAAAATATCACTAGTAAATCCATGACTTCAGAGGGTGAGAGTCTTATAACTGTGGATTTAAATTTTCTTGGGCTTCTCAATGTTTGCTTTATCACGAGTTGAAAGACACTGAGAGAAGCTTTACAGAGTATCACTCAATTGCCACAAGGGGTTCAGACATTGGTGTCTTTTGGGATAACCTTTCTCTTTTATATTTAATTCCTGGAATTGTTAGGGGGAAAAGGATGTCCCAAAGCAAATTCCATATAGGCTTTGTGGATTCCACCCCCACCCCAGGTCAAAGCCAAAGACACTGGGAACTCCAAATCCCATCACCACCAAAGGGAAAGTGGCTGGGATCTGAGGGTGGGGTTAAGCAGCCAGGTGGATACAAAAGGCAGACACGTGGGCTTTGGGGATCCCCCATTTTGGCTCTCCACCAGCTCGCAGCGTCCGGCCAGCTCTGAGAGTGACTTTGGGTTTCCAGGTCCTCGGATCGGGTAGGACGCATTAAAGACTTTATTTCCCTATTTTCTCCCTGAGTTGTACATTTTCCTTATTTCCTTTTCTCTTGTAAATAAACCTTTTATTAACCTTTTGTGTGTGTCTGTAGTAGAGTATTCATAAGTCCCTTTAAAGCGCGCAGGTGAGGACCCACAGCTAGGAACCCGTTTAATATCGGGGTTGCTCTATAACAGCTTGGCGCCGAAGGAAGGCTGGAGCTGTCCCTTTGGTGATATTAAATGAACAGATGTTCCAAAGGGTTGAGAAGGTGGGGATATGTGCCCTGTCATACACAACAAGTAACTCAGGTGCACATCTGTGAGTAGCTGAAAACAAAGACCTGACGCTTGTACACACCTGAATTCCCCAAATCCCACCCCTTTTGGCTAATGCACACAGCTGAGATTGCTTTGCTCACACCCCCACCCACTTCTTTGTGTTCTTTAGGGAATATTTTTTCCTCAAAACTGTTTCTAACATGATTCCATTTCCAGACAGCCCCAGGAAAGTGGTACAGTAGAAAAAGGTTAAGTTCTTCCCCTCTGTAGGACTTAGGCAATTTGGCCTTTACCCACTGCCAAGATGGCCCTCCTGTATCACAATTTGAAGACTCTTTTGGGCTTCTGCCAAATGAAGATTGAGTAAACATCTCTGACATTCTGATTCTAGGGAAAAAAATCAGAAGCAACAATTTAAATGGAAGATTATAGGGCTAAAACCCTTACATTAGAGTAGCTTACTTTTTATTATTCTGCTTCCACATCCTTATTTTACCTCCTTTTCTGTTGTGTTCTATTTATGGTCAACTACTTATCCCAGGCACTCCCACCTATATCTCCAGCATGCACCACAGAAAAAGTTGCTCAAAGTCCTACCTCCAGTCTCTACTTTCAGGAAACCTCAAGGAAGTCCCTCTACCCATCTGCACCTCAGTCTCCTAGTATGCATTATAAGGATAAGGATTGCAGTCATATCCTTGATTCCTCAAACTCTGAAAGAATGCTAAATTGTGAAATGATAAATACATGTAAGGGATTATTAATTAGTGCCATTACTGCCTATCCATTCTATCAATACCTCAATTGATCCTTCCTTCTGCTTCCTACCCATTGGAATTATAGTCATACCTGTATGACCCTTAATCTGTTCTCCATCTTTAACTCTCTTACTCTGGCTGTTCACTTTAGCTCTTAAATGACTAAGTCTACACTCACAGACTGAACCCTGGGAGGAAAACGTATAAGTAAGGCAATCAGGAAGGCTCCAAGATCTGAGCTGTGGACTTGAAATAGCTGCCTGGTAGAGAAACAAAGTGTTAAGGGCTTTTAACCTGCTCCTTAATGCCTTGTCCAGTCACTCCACTCCCCCAAACTACCCCCAAGGTGTTAACCTGTCCCCTTAGACCATAATTCCCAGCAACTGCCCTGCTGAACTCAAAAACTAAAATGGAGCAATTCAGAAAGATGTTTTCAGATGACACTGACTGACATGTACCAATTTAAAGATACCTGTTATTAAAATCTGTATACTGTGAGAAAGCAAAAAACCTGATTTGAAGCACTGATAAGGCCAGTAGTGCCTCTGAAATAATAAAGTAGACAGCTGCTGTTGTGGGTTGTTGCTCTCTCTTTCAATGCCCTCTTTTTAAATTTTTTTTTAAATTTTTAATTTTGGATTTTTTACATCATGGTTCATTTTTAAACAATATTTAGGTATAATCCCCACAGAATTCCCTTCCCCAATGCACCCGTGCACCATCACCTCAGTCCCCTGTGCTCCTCCTCCCTCCCTCCCTCCCTCCCTCTAATCCCTCTCCCTCCTCCTCCCCTGCAGTATGTCTCTGATTTATAATTGTCTGTTTTTGCTTTGTTGTGTTTTATACTGTTACTATTTTTTAACCCTGATGTCTTATTTGGTTCCCCTATATTCCTGCTATAAGTGAAACCATCCACTATTTTTCTTTTTCCTTCTGGCTCCATCCACGTTGCTGCAAATGGCGAGTTTATCTTTATTATATTTCATCATCTTTGACCTTTTTGGCTACTCTTTTTTTTAAGATTTATTTATGTATTATTTATGCAAGAACTGGGGTACAGTCCAGAGATGTGGGGGGTGAGAAGATTCACCAGAGACAGAGTAGGGAGCATAACAGGCGGATCTACTGAAATACACTGTGAGGGGAGCAGTGGGAGAGATGGGAGAGGTCTACTGTGCCATGTGGGTCACCTTCCCGGGCGGGAATTGAACTCGTGCTGCAGTGGCTGCAGACAGCTTCACAGTGTTGCATCTTAACCCCTTGTGCCACAAGGGAGGCCCTTTGCCCACTCTTTTAGAATTACGATGCTCAACTTGACCTCCACATCTTCCACTATACTTCAAGAACTTGCCCAACCACTAGTCACTATTACAGATCACATTGTATCTCAGACCCCTGGGGTGAGTGGGACAGAGGCTACAAACCACTGAATTAGAGTAGCCCCATAACTTTGGTTTAGACATGGCATAAAGTGTATTAGTGTCAACCCTGACGAACATTTTCTATACAAATAAAAACTGGCTATTACACTATAAATTCCTTGCCAGCTGACACTATGACTGAATTAATTTTATAGAAAACATTTCCTATACCACAAGGTCAAGCACATGTTTTAAGAAATACATGTGTTTTATTATACTGAATCTCCTGTTTTCAGCTTTAGATCACCCAGGGCTATATTCCTTTCTAGATCACCTCTTCCTCCCTTTGGACCTTGGGGTCTCCAGATACCACCTGACTCCCCTTTCCCAGCAACCTGTCTCATGCTTCCTCACTCTTTCAGCCTCCTTTACTTGCTTCCTATTGAATGCTAATTTTCAAAGAAACATTACTCCCATGTGGCTTTGTGCCTTTGTTCCTACCCTTCAAACCATCTGTTACTTCCTCTGTGACTCACTGCTGGTACAAATCAAGAGAAATCTTGTTTCCCACAGCAACACAACATGGATTAGACTAATGTCCTGTATTTCCCACCACCACATAAAAGAGAGAGGGAATTACAGGCAGAGGAGAAGTTAAAATCACAGAACATGAGCGATACGAAGAGTGATGAAGAGAAGGATGACATCAGAAGAACTAGGATGAGGTAGACCCCTTGAGGGCTAAGATCACTATTCAATAAAGGTGCTTTAACTTGCCAGAAATCATAGCAAAATAGCAGCGCTGTTCAAATCACTGATGATCGAAGAAATGACAAATACAGTAAGATTTCACTTTACACATTCTAACTGAGCAAAAAATGAGAAAGCTGGCATTGTTAGGGAAACCGGGAAACAAGAACCCTCCATTAAGTGTTTGGTGGGGGAACAGTCTGATGTAGCCATGCTGGAGAAATGCTTACACACAATCAAGGGACTGCTAATGGCAGTATTATCTATAGGGAGGAGGTGCTGGAGGGAATCTGGGTGAAGTCTATTGGCTGGATGGGTAAAATATGCCAAATGTGCCATGGAGAAGCACAGTAAAGAGAATCAACAGGTTAGAAATAAAGACAGATCCTAAAAATGCAGTCTTAGTGGGGGAAAGAAAAAGACATGAAATATTTTGTTATA